GAGCTTACTCTTGTATGGATACCAAACCTCAGAATAAAATAAATCATATTTTAAAACCATAAGATATGGGAATAATTTATGGTTATGCGACTCATTACATTAAAGATCTTCATTATTTGAATTATTAAATTTATTAAAAGTAATATTTCTATCTCTCAGGATAGTATATGATTCTTAAAATGACACATATGATCGTTTACACATAAATCTTTCAAGATCTATGATGGCCAACATAATAATTATGCCTGAATGACACACCATCTTTTTCTCCCTACATGAACTCTCTTTCTTTTTTCATTGAAAAAGAGCTTCACTAATTGGATGTTATCATTTATTATTGGTTTTACTGCTTGAGTGAAACCACTGTTGGCTGGTCAAATCGAGATCCCTAAGTGTCGTTTGACTTGACAATTCCTTACATAAACTTTTCATGTTCCCCCGAGTGTCAGTCGACCTAAGTAATGTGTGCTTATTAGAAATTTTTACTTAATCATTTTTATGAACTTGACAATGAAGTAAAAAGGTAGAAATACAAAAATATATTTATTGCCAAGATACAAAATTCTTTCTTAAGGATAAAATGTCTTCAAATCGTCACCACTCCATGTTCAAGTCACCCATTTCCCATATTATTGTTGCAGTGGTGACCAGTTTGTCGATGATGAATGACCAAGTATATCTTTAGTAAAGTTTTCACATAGCTTATCCTTGTGCGGCTAGTTCAAATTTCTTTAGTAAAGGTTCTTTGGCCATGAAATTCTTCTCTAAAATGTGGTTGTTGTAGTATCGACTCATTGCTCTCTTCACTTCTACCTATAGAAGGGCGAGTTGCTTGCTTCTCATCCATAAGTTTGAGCAAGCAACACTTCATTGTTTTTTGCTTCCTACCACTTAGCTAATTCCACCTTATCAAATGTGGAGGTTTCCACCATTCTATGATTGTGATGGTTATATTCTATTGTAGCACAACCTTCATCCCGTGTGACAACATGAACGAGGTTTGACCGATTATTTTGGAAGGTGTTGTTCAAACTGCACAAAGAACAAATTGTAGGATCTTGGACCAGTTTCTTTTAGCTCTTTCAACATTTTTTCTTAGTAGGTTAAGGATAATTTTGTTGGTTGCCTTCAAACTTCCATTGAACTTCAACATTCTTTCAATATTAAATCTTCCTTAAGTCCTTTGAACTTAAATCTTCCTTGGAACTTCCTTGAAACTTCAACATTAAATCTTATGTCCTTTGAACTTCCTTATCTCACTCTTTGCGTTGTTGAGGTAATTGGATATCATCTCTTCTCTAACTTCGAATTATATGTTCAGCTGATTGAATACCAATTGTGAGTTAGATTTTACTATGAGTTATCGCTCGCCCATTTTATAGGGGATTCATAGCCTGATAATTATAGCTTTGAACTCAGATTGGCTATTGGTGACTTCAAATCTCACTTATATCGAGTGGTGTGGATGATCTCTTTTTGGATTTGCTAGAGTGTGACTGACCTCAATTTGAGTAGATTTTCGTCAATATGCAAGACCCAAGAAAGGCTACTAGTTTTTGCTTATTTTTCAGGCTCATATGAATTAGAAAAATTAGCCAAGAAGTCAACAGTGGCTTGGGCTTTGATAGAGGTTTGAGACATATAGGAGAGATCTCACTTAGTTCTACCATGCATTCGAGAAGCTGACCTAAGTGTTATGGCATATTGAGGACTTATTTGAGCGGGTGGTCGGTAATGACCCTAACAAGATTTGTCTGAAAATAGAGTGAAGCCTTCATGCATAAATAAAGAGAGAAAAAAAAAACTAATTTTTCAATAATTGAACTCCTGAGCTTAGTTCCTCGAAGGACTAGCTAACATAGTTGACCGAAAACTGTTTGTCTGATCCTCTTGGCCTAAAACTGAGCTGATGACTTCAAGTCTGATCCCCAAGTATAGAATAAGTTCTTCATTCACCTTTGGGCTTTGTAGGAGAGATGGTAACCTTAAGGAATCTTTCAATTTCAAAAATAACTGTTCACATTCATCTAACTAGTCGAAGTTCTTTGTTCGTCTCAAATTTTTAAGAAAAACAACATCCTTATCGACTGACTTTTAGATGAAACAACTCAAGTCTGCAATTTGGCCAATCAATTTTTGTACTTTCAGAGGACAAAATGTTGATCAATGCCTGAATCTTTTATGAGTTAGCTTTTATTACTTCTGTTCCTAAAAATTTATTTGCGGATGCTCCAGAAGTTCACTTGAGATGATTAAGTTTCCTATTAGACTTTCATAGAGTTTAAAAAGTTTCTTTTAAATCTCTCGTGTTGTTTTGATATTTTACTTTTCACTATAATATCATCTGCACACACTTCAATATTTTTATTTTCCTTTCTGTTTGGCAATAAAGTACATTCATCATGCATTGGTAAGAAGCGTCATCATTTTTCAATCTAAACGACATTACAATATAGCAGCACACTCCCTCGATTTTGATGAATGCAGTCTTCTTAGCTTCGGTCAGATGCATCTTGATCTAATGGTAGTTGGAAAAGGCATCGAGGAAGCTCATCACGAAATTGCCGACTACCGCATCCACGTGCATGCTGATCCATGGTAGGGGTAGTTGTCCTTTGAGCAAGTGGTGTTTAGATTAGTGAAATCAACACACATCTTCCAATTTTCATTTGATTTCTATATCATGACAACGTTTGACACCCATGTTGGATACTGGATGGGATGTAGCCGACCTCTAGAAGATTCTGCACCGCCTCCCAGATCGACGTGACAAATGTGATAGTTGACGTCCACATCTTCTGCTTCATTGGTCAGGTCATCGGGTATATGTTCAAACGGTAGCAGGTGACGTCCACATCTTCTGCTTCATTGGTCAGGTCATCAAGTTTATTTTTAAACGGTGGTAGATGACGTCAAATGCTATGTCATGCATCTCAACGATATACCAGACAAAAAATGTCTCGGTGGCTCAGGAGGGTGTCGATCAAAGCATCCTTGTGATCTACATCAAATGCTCCACTTAGTAGAAAAATTTTACTAGTATTTCCTTTGGTCATAGGGATTTGATAAGTAGTCTCGTTGGTCTCGAGACCCCATCTCGTAGGTTGTTGAGCTTAAGGGGTTTTTCCTGGACGCTTCCAATCACCCTGAGGTTGCAATGGCCCCACCTTCTCTCTACTTTTCTCTTTTGGACTGTTAGGTCACATCGGGATCAACACTTGCATATATTTTTTTATACAGTGATATATAATGGAATTTATTTATAAGAATTAAATGGTATGTATGTCAATATCTTTATTATTAATCAATTTTTTACATTAAAATTAAAAATTACATGCATTAACTTCTTAAATTTTATTTTAAACATTTGTTTAAAAATTAAAAAAAATTTATTTTTTAATAAATTTCATTTAAAAATGAATTTATTCATAAATATAAAAATTAATGTGTCCAAGAAATAAATATATAAGAATTATATGGTATGCATTTAACATTTTTCATTCAGTGTTTAAATTAAAAATTAAATGCACTGAGATTCTTAGAATTTAATATAAATATTTGCAATAAAATAATGAATTAATTTAAAATTTAAACTTATTATCAATTAACTAAAAATGTAAAAAATATTTGTGACCCAATAATTTAAAGATGAAGAATTAATAACCTAATTAAAATCTTAAGAAAATTTATATTACTATCACACAATTCTCATACATTTATACATCTAACATTTAAAACTTTATATTTGTATTTTTAACCTTTTATTAGTATAGCTTGCATTTAATTTTTTTTAATAACTAATAGTGACATTTTATCATTTCAAAAATTTGATTGTTATGTACATAATAATAATAATAATAATAATAATAATAACCCGGAGGTATATCCAAAGCATCGTGTTTGGAGCTGATAGATCGAGCGGCGGAAGCGCTCGGCAGTAGATGGCGGAGGAGAAATATAATCGGAGGAATCCGGCGGTGAAGCGGATCCTCCAAGAGTTGAAAGAGATGCAGTCAAATCCCTCAGACGATTTCATGAGCCTTCCCCTAGAGGTATCTTTAAATCGTAACCCTAATTATATCTTCTCTTCAGGCATTAGATCTCCTTTTAATGGGATCTCCTTTTCAATCGGATGTGATCTCCTTCATGTTTTTGCGGTGTAATTTGAGTTTGTGGAATTTCTGGGGTCTGATTTTATACTTGGATGACTGCTTTTTATATGTGTTTGCGGAGACCAGGAGTTTGTGGGACGATTAAGTTTTTATGTGAGGATATTCCGAACTTGTAATTTGACGATTTGACTTTCTTTCGGATTAGGAAAATATATTCGAGTGGCAATTTGCGATTTTGGGACCTCGCGATTCGGAGTTTGAAGGAGGGATCTATCACGGAAGAATTCAGTTGCCTGCAGATTACCCGTTCAAGCCCCCTTCCTTCATGCTGCTAACTGTAATTAATAGAATTCATTTGCTGTAAAATTCAATTCAGTATATCATTTTTTATATAAATCGCTTATAGTTCCTGAAAATTTCCAGCCAAATGGGCGTTTTGAGACTCAGACAAAGATATGCCTGAGCATATCGAACCATCATCCTGAGCATTGGCAGCCGTCATGGAGTGGTATGTTGTTTTGTGGGTTCTTTTTATTTTTTTCTTCATGCTGGTTTTATGTTTTCTAGCTGGAAGTTTTGGAAAGATATCTGTGCATAAAGGATCAACACCACTCCATGATGCTGATTTTCTTGCAGAGACGTTGAAAGCTAAGCCTATATTGTTGGGATAAGTATAATGATACTGATGATGATTTAATTGTGCTTTTATACTTTCTAGTAATGAAAGTGATATTTTTGAAATAAGGTTGAATATGAACTAGATATTGTGTCAAGCTGTACTTCTGAAAATGGCTCTTTCTTTGATGCTGTCGCCAAAAAATTGCTACTAAACCTGTTTATTCTGTGGAGAAGCAGTTAAATAGCTCCTCTTTGAACTAGTTTATTCTCAACCTTAATTTTCTGAGAAAGACTTCAAAGAATGATCTTGGGAGCATTGAGAATGGATTCTTATAGAATAATGAACAACCATGAACTGAACACCAACCCGTTTAATATGCTAATTTATAATGAGTCTAAAATAAATTAATTATAATAAATGAAAAAGGACATTGGTTTGTTGCTATATTTTGTCATTTTATTTATATCACCTGATTTTTAAGGAGCCTATTAGATTCCTAGCAGCTAAATTTCTTATATCCATATATTCACTAGAACTTACTTTTTTAAGGTTTAGAATGGGAGCTTAATTTCTATGTGAGAAGTTAGGTCTTCAACCTTTCCACAGTTTCAGTTACAAATCACTGCTATTTCACTCAAACTACTACACACATGCTATTTATTTATTTATTTATTTATATTTTAGCGGACATGTAAATGGTGTCTAACAAGTGTTTGGTTTATGTTGTCTCCTGCTTGTTTTGGATACTATAGAATTTGATAAAATAAACCATAAAGTGTCAATACACCATAGGTGAGAAGTAACAAGAGGGTGATATTTTTTCCTTATATTTTTGTTATTTGCTTAGTTATCAGGCAATCTTTCGTAGCCTATTTGTTTCTTGAAAAAGTAGCTTGTTGGATTCATTTGTGGATTATTTGAGATGAACACCTTCAATCATTTTTATCATTTCTCATCATTTGCAATACTACTATTCGATTTTCTTTCTTCTGGTCTGTAGTATAAACTAATATGATGCCATATCAATGCTTTTCATTATTAATAACTGTCATTCAGTAATTGAATCCAGTGACTAGAGCAACCAAAATATCCATTTAAATCTGTTTTATTAAAACGTAGAACCTAAAGCCTTTATTTTTATGCCCACTATAAGTTCCTTTTTTGGATATATTTTAACTTCTAATAATTTCTGATTTTTTGCTATGTATATTAGCGTTCCTTCCATGATTACACATGGCATTTTGGGATCACTGTACAATTTTTTTTCCCCTTTGGTGTGGTGTATGGCTATTGTAACAATCATATTCATAAGGTTTAAAAGGCTTAACTTTTGGAAATAATAAACTTTTAAACAAATCAATTTTGATGCAGAAATTTTGATATCTACATCTATAGTTTTTTTAACTACTTTGCCACCTTCAAATACTGACTTGATCTTGCATATTTAGCCATTTGTTACACATTTGGATGGTAAACTTTTTGCTTTACCAGGAAGAAGATAAGGTCTCCTCAAAAACTTCAATAAGTATGGTTAGGCAATTAGTAAAACTTAGAATTTTTTTTCGTATACATTTTGCATTATTTGTTATTTTCATTGTTCCTTTTTGAACGGTTTTGAATACGTGAAGAAGGTTCTCAACCTCGTATATTTAAAATATGTTATTGTCAGATTTATAGACAAGTCATCAATTTATTCAAATATAAATGGAAGATACCATTCCAGCAATCCCAATTAGTTACAGTTTGGTATTGATGAGATGGAGGGTATTTTTGTATATATTCTATCTTGAATATATCCAAGCATCCCACAACTTCTTTTTGTTCCTTGAAATTACGATCCATTCTCTTAAAGGAAGGTTCTCAACCTTTAATAATTTTTTTCTCAAAATTTTTAATGAAGTATCTTTTCATGTCTCATGCTGGAATATTCATCACAATTTATGATATTACTTTTAAGTACAGCTATCAAAAAAGACGAAAAATAGCACAAGGGAACCCCTTTTCATAAATAATTGTTATTTTGCTTATTTGTGTTTTATTTGAAATGTTATAGGATTCTTGTGAGTTTCAATCCCCATTTCCAAGGTTGGGGTTGTCTGAGCCTGGTGCTAAAGCTTATGGGGGTTGGCTTGTCGATTGAGAATACACTTTTGCAGAAAAAGAACTTTTCTTTGCACATTGTTTGCATCATGCCCTTATTGGAGATGATTCACAATTAGAGGGGGATTCGCTCAGTCCTACTTTAAGCTCGATGCTTATTTTGAGCCATGTGCTATTTAGATACCATACTTTTATATAGAACCATAATCACTTGGTCCGGAGCGCAGCACTGATTTAAATTTTTTTTCATATTTTTATTAAAAGACATCAAAGCAAATATTCTTGGACTGTATGTCTCACTAATTAGAACATGAGAATCTCCATGTTTGTGCTGTCTTATAAAAAGAATCACCTTTGAATTCGTGAAGAGTCTTACGAACCGCGCTCTTATATTCTAGACTTGAATTTTGTGACAAATTCTTCTACTTTTCACAGTTCGTACAGCTCTGGTTGCTTTGATAGCCTTTATGCCAACCAACCCTGGTGGCGCGTTGGGCTCCCTTGACTATCCCAAGGGGGAAAGACGCCAACTTGCTATCAAGTCACGCGAAACTGCGCCTGTATACGGCAACACAGAACGGCAAAAGCTAATCAATGAGGTTCATCTTCTCTCTCGTTTCTACTATGTTTAAATTTTTTGAAGATTTACATACATACCACTCAATTCCTATGTATTTACATCTCTTACACCTAAACTTTTATTTTTACATACATGCCCTCTTAATTCTCTTTTTAAAAGTTAACATAGAGGTATTTTTTTTATGTGATTTGAAATTTTTGGGTGGTATAAATGTAAAAAAAAAATTCATTTTGCTCTTTTAAACGAATGTCTGGCTACAGGTCCATCAATACATGCTCACCA